CTCTCTCTCTCTCTCTCTCTCTCTCTCTCTCTCTCTCTCTCTCTCTCTCTCTCTCTCTCTCTCTCTCTCTCTGTGTCTCTGTGTCTCTGTGTCTGTGTGGGTGAACAGGCGCCGCTGCCACTTCGTGGCCTTGGGACACGTAAAAGAGTCGTACAAAACCCAATTGTCTCGGTGTTTCTTACCGCGAACATCTGAACCCACCTTACCTACCACCCATCTGAACCCACCTTACCTACCACCCCTCCTTTTCTTTCTCCTTCCCTCTCCTCCCTCCTCCCCTCTCCTCCCTCCTCCCCTCTCCTCCCAAACAAGTGAACATCTGAGCCATTGAAACTTAGACCGACCTTCCATTTAGTACAAGTGGAGCGGGCCTTTCACCCTCGCGAAATCTCGAGTCGGCACTCAACACTTTAACATATCCATGACAGTCTAGCTGGTAATGCTCATGTGGAAGGAAAAGAGGGATTATGCTCATCACAATAAAGAGAGAGCTAGCTGCTCCTGAGGTGGAGAGGAGAAGATAAAGGAGGCGGAGATCTGAACTTCAGACGGGCGAGTAAAGGCAGCACGATGAAAAGCCATTCCTACAGACAAGTTCTTTCTGCACAGGAAGACGAAGACAAAAGAAACACACCTTTAGAAGCTCTGCTCGCATCTCCGGCGATTCCCTGGTCGATAAAATCATCCCCGTGTACGGCACAGCAATTCGCAGGATCGCAACCAATTTCCTGAAATGTGCGTCGTCGACCGGGTAAGGGGGGTTGACAGACGTCTCGGCACCTTCTGCCGGCCTCATCCTCGGCACAGAAATCGTGTGCGGACCGGCTCCGTATTCTGCCTCGAGGTGATTTGCATGCATGACCATGGCAAGGCACTCGTACCGGTAATCATACAGACCAAATAAAACCCCCAGACCAACATCGTCCACGCCACCACGGAATGCCCTGTCCATCGTCAGAAGGCGGTGCGGATAATCGCTTTTCGGACCTGCAGGATGCTGCCATAATGCCATAACAAAACCAAAAACACGTCGCGGGTGTCATCCTTTGTTTGTTAAACCCAACAAATACTACCACTACCACTACCACAATGAAAAAGAGCACAGCGCTGCAAAATCATCGAGAAGGAAAGAGTGAGCAACAACCCTGCAGGACAGTCAGGCTTGCAGCAGCAGGAACTTGCGGTATACTTTTATACACCGTTATCCAAAACCAAGAGCATGGTGTACGACCTAAAGGTAATGAATGAGACAGGAGAAGGGTGGAAGTCGAAACACACACACACACGACTGAGACAGGAGAAGGGTGGAAGTCAAAACACACACACACACACACACACACACACACACACACACACACACACACACACACACACACACACACACACACACACACAAA